TCTCTCAGAGTCTCTGAAAGCGAGACTCGAGTCTCCGTCTCTCATCGAGTCTCTCTGGTGTCGCTGAGAGAGACTGTCAAAAAAACTGTTTAGCGTCTCTGAACGAGAGACTCGAGTCGCTCATAGAGAGATCCTCATTTCGTATCCAGTCTCTGAATGAGAGACTCGAATCACTAAACGAGAGACTCAAACCTCTGAATGAGAGACTCGAATCTCTCAATTTTTCAGTTTTATTCATTCAGTCTCTCTGTGAGAGACTCGAATCTCTGAATTAATAATTTCATCGTTCGAGTCTCTCATACAGAGACTTGAGAGATTCATAAAAACAACTAGGCAATAACTGAGAGACTGTGAAAGACTGGGAGAGACGCTTTCAGAGACGCTGAAAGACTCTGAGAGACTGGAGAGGGACAGAAAATTTTTGTCTAGGGAAATTTGATAACGATGGTTTTCTTTGTGAACACATCTACAAGATTTACTCCATAATGGTTTCCCCGTTTAGAATGCAGACCAATGATGGAAATGAAACAGCAGAAGAAGAATGGGTTAGAGCCAATTGAAATATGGAAACGTTACCTACGGTCCCGGTATAATACCGCAGTTGTTATCATTTCGTGGTCGAACTACAATGTAGGAAAACAGAATCCTGAGTGAAATTCCTGAAATAATATCCTGAGAGAATCACGACTACCACGCTCGAACTAGCATTACAACCTTATTTACTCAACTCGATACTGGGCCCTGCAATGATGCAGTACATTTCAGCTTTAACCTGTAAGAGCAAACCTACACACAAACAGACGTACGAACAATACATATGTATGTGTGTATACATGGCGGAACAATGTTTGTATTCTTCTGTTCACTGAATCAAATCGATCGTGCAACTGGATTGTATACTTATTGTTAGGTCTGTTGTACATGTACACATATTACGATGATGTTCAAAATACAAACCAACAATAACTGAAATATGTCCTTAGAACGTGAAATCTTATTCTATACTGACCTTTTGCTGATGTCCAAATCCCGCTATTTCTACTAAATATGTACCCATGAAGTCATTAGAAATATCTACTTCAAAATTTCGTAGTGGCTACTGCCTGTACAATCCGCCCATACCGAATTAATTATTGCAAAGGATTGTTTCGATTATCACTTTGTTCGGATTTTCAACGTTTCGGTGACATTTCATAGCTGTTAACGCAATCGTTTCGTAATACGGACGAATTGTAAGATTTTGCATGTCTCCAGCAGCCGCTTCTCAAGCGAGATGACGTTTCCGCGCCTGCGCTGTTCGAAATTGTTCGAAATATCAAGATTTGTTCGGATTATCACTAAGTGACGAAGGTTCGTATTAACACATGTTCGGATTATTGAGATTGTACTGTATTTCTTTTGGAAATGTAGGTGAAACACTTCGAAGTAAATGTTTTTCTAGAAATATCAGCATTTAAATAAACTAAAAAGGGATTCATCCTGTTTACCTAACTGCCTTTCCGCTTTTCTCAATTATATACTTTACATAAACAGAAGGGGTTGTGTGTTCTCTCTAATTCCGTTCTGTCGTCCATTACCCGTTGCGATACCGTTCTCAATCTGGCGATTTGGACGCATTTAAGCGTACGTTGTTGAAAGTATTAGCGTCATTTCCGTTTGTTAATAGTTTTTCAATTTCGTAGCGAATCGTAGGAAGGAAAAAAAATTTCGAACGTTTAGCAATTTCTGTCCGGATTCGTTAACAAGAGTTCGGGCTAATTAAATTATAGCCTGGCAACTCGAGGCAGGGAAAAAACGGTTTAATTAAAAAGTACACGACTGACTTCTTGACCGGGCTTCGGCGTATAACAACACGTTGCATTTTTCTCGAGTGGTCCTCTCTTCTTCATCTTCTTCTTTTCGTAGCCTCTCGCATCCTCGGCCTCTTAGATCCATAGTTTCTTGACAAAAAAAAACGCTTTCTGGTACTTTTTCTCTCCCTGTCCCACTTACTTCATGCTCGTGCTGCTTGCATGAAGTTAGAAATGGTGAATCACGCAACAGATTGATTTCGTACAACGGACTACTCAAGCGTGTAATCATAATTCTCGAACAAAGCGGCCATCTCTTCCGTTGGTATGATGTTTTTCCCTTATTTTAATTGGATTATTATTTTCTGATACCCAAAACATCCGAGACGGCTGATAGAACAACCAATGCGGCGACTTATGTATACGTTGCCGTTGCCCTAATGTCCTGTGTTCGAGTTTTTGATGTATTTATTAACACCTTTTTCTGTCTGTAACACCGCCAAGGACGGCATAAAACAGATATTAGCATACACAACAAACCATGTCTTGTTATCCACGTGAGACTTTGGAAAAACTTCCAATAACGGACTACTTACTTAGGTCAAATTAGGAAGGCGAAGTATACGCATTGATCGAAAAGATATAACAACATTTTGATTTCTTAAAATGGCCTATTTATAATTTCTAAAGTACATCGTTCACGTCCTTCCTCTATGTGAAAACCACCCAACTTATTTTACCTTATTGTGATTATTTTGTTTATAAACAAAATCACGGAATTATTTCAAACATTTTATCCAACTTAGACAGAGTCAAGAATACGACGACACTTTAACCGCATAAAATGGCAAGAATTGTCGCTGTTGTCCGGAACTTTTTATGGTTAGTCCTTTGTGAGTCAAAGGCGCTTTTGGATCGCGGTTGAGACAAACGGAAATACTGGGAAATATTAAATTATTTTGAGACGAACTTTTCTTCAGCGAGACCGTGAGACGGGTCGTAACGGTTTTATTAATCAGAGGGGGTTTGCGTTTTAGTACGGCAGCGACAACTTTGTGAAGTTTACATTTCATTCTGTCATAGCTACACGGGGACCCTAAACAGAGGGAAAACAATACCACAAGATCCTAGATAATGAAAATTTCTAAATACCTTAAACCAGACGTTCCGAAACTATGACTCGTAAGTCAATGAGTAGCTCATTTGATAATTTCAAGTGATTCGTTTGAATTCCGTAAATAAAATCGCTTGTTGTGGCTTTTTTTTGTTTGGGTTGAGCGTTATATTAAAAATTACCCTATTAATCATCTAATGGTTATCAGGCTTGATCGAGCTTTACATAAAAATTAATTGAACAGATTTTGAGTTTATTATATTAGATTTGCCCAAACAGATACCGAAATTATTTACAGTTGGAATAAAATATTGACGTGTTCGTATTGTATTATTACAAATTCCTTTCGTAGTTTCCAAAATACAGCAGGAATTCTCTCGGTCTCGATTGTGTTATTGTATAACAAATGTGCTTATTATTTTTGATTTGTTGTCTTACCACAAACTACATATGTATGTATCATGCCACACGACGCGACGGTTGCCTGCGACTGTTGAAGCCCATAAAAGTGGTAGCAGGGGCAGCCTATCTCTTACGGCCAGACCACAGCCGTTTATGCATGTATATTTATATGTAGAACGATAAATCTTTCAAAAGTGTTTAACATTTCAAGTTTTTTCAGCCTATATTCACTCTGGAAACTGAAAGATCCATAGAGGCGGAGCCCAAACAGCAAGCTTTCGGTAAAGCTCGAGAGCTTTCGGAGCGTCTTTACACATACTACCGTGGCTATTCGTATAAAGCTTGCCGCTGATCTAGTTCGTCGCGACGGCCACACGGAAACATCAACCGACGGTGGCGAACGCAGGCAGCCAGGCAGTCAGCTTCCGTTCGCTGAAGAAGACGGACGCGCTCGTGGTCATATCTCATCTCATGTGTCTGTGGAGGTACGCGGTTGGTTGAGAGCAACACTATCGAGTCGTTAATGAAACGAAAGAAACTTTTCTAAATTCGACCATATTATCGAAAATTTTATTAAAGCTAGTGTCACTTTAAAAAAATGTAGGATAGATTCATGTAAAACAAAAAGTGAGTCTTCATTTCTGGAAATGTCGGTCGTTTTTTAAAGATGGAAAAGGGAATCATCTTATTTTGTGTTCTGTTCGTTTTCTCGGTGAGAACTGAAAACGTCTCGTTCGAAGGCAACGTTCAGCCCTTACGTTACGAAGCACCTGATGATTGTCAATGGTGGATCCGAGAGCCCGCAGTGGCCGGAGGACAAGACGAGGTAGCCCTTACCTGTAAGTTGAGAACCATCAATAGCGAGTTCGACACCACCAACTTCAGCGTTATCCCTTCAGAACATACCACGTCCCTTAGGATCGAGTGCAGCGACGTGTTAATGTCTCGAAGCAGCCTCGACGATAAGAGCTTCGTTCATTTGGTGAAGCTTCGCGAATTAGAATTAGAGCACTGTAAATTGGGACGATGGCCTGCAGGAACGTTAACGGGATTGAGAAATTTACGAAATTTAACAGTTCGGACTCATAATACTAAATGGCCAGCGATGAGCTTAGATTTATCGCCGGAAAGCTTTGCTCCTGTGAGACAGCTGGAGAGATTGGATTTAAGTTCGAATAACATTTGGGCATTTCCGGAAAACATTTTTTGCCCTCTGACCAATTTGGTGATGCTCAACGTGAGCGAGAATCGTCTCCAAGACGTGAGCGATTTGGGCTTTCGAGAGCGTGTGACAGCGGCAGCTCAACCCCTTATGAGTGTTCCGGAAGGCGAACAAGAGTCGCACGATATCGACAATGTGAAAATTGACATTTCGTGCAGTTTGGACGTGCAAGTTCTTGACGCGTCGTTCAATCATTTCGTATTAATTCCCGCCAACGGATTTGGCATTTTAAGAAGACTGAACGAATTGTATTTGCAATATAACGAAATTTCAATGGTTGCCGATAAAGCCCTGGCCGGATTAAAATCGCTTGAGATTTTCGATTTGTCGAACAATAAAATCGTGGCGTTGCCCGGCGAGCTGTTCAAAGATTGTGCAACAACAATAAAGGAAATTTACCTACAGAATAATTCAATAACTGTCCTTGCGCCTGGATTATTCTCAGATTTAGACCAGCTGCTTGCGCTCGATTTGTCAAAAAACCAGCTGAGTAGTTCCTGGATTAACACTGACAGTTTTGCCGGCCTGATCCGTTTGGTACTGCTCAATTTATCTTACAATAAAATCATGAAAATTGAACCGACAATATTCAAGGATTTGTACACGTTACAGATCTTGAATCTGGAGCACAACCTGATAGAAACAATCCCGGCCGAGACATTCGCTCCGATGAGCAATTTGCATACGTTGATAATATCGTACAATAAAATTACCTACTTGGATGCATATTCCCTCAACGGGCTGTACGTTCTCTCATTACTGGCGCTAGATAATAATTTACTGGAAGGTATTCATCCCGAAGCTTTTCGGAACTGCTCCAGCTTACAAGATTTGAATATTAATGGTAACGTGCTAACCAAAGTGCCCCTGGCCCTGAAGGATATGAGACTTTTGAAAACGGTCGATCTTGGCGAGAATTCGATAACGTCATTAGAGAATCCGAACTTTCGAGGAATGAGCAACTTGTACGGTCTGAGACTAATAGGAAATCAGTTGCAAAATATTAGCAAGCACGCGTTCGTCGATCTTCCCGCCCTTCAGATCCTCAATTTGGCGAGAAACAGGATCCAGAAAGTGGAACAGGGCGCTTTCGAAATGAGCGCAACTTTACAAGCAATCAGGCTCGACTCTAATCAGCTAACAGACATTAGCGGTCTGTTTTCGAATATACCAAGTTTACTTTGGCTGAACGTATCCGATAACAGGATAGAGTGGTTCGATTACGCTCTCATTCCTCACGGACTCCAGTGGCTCGATATCCACAAGAATAACGTCAGAGAACTAGGCAACCACTACTCCCTAGACGTCGAGTTACGTTTGCAAACTTTGGACGCGAGCTTTAACAAATTAACAAGTATCAATTCGAACGCCGTGCCGAGCAGTATCGAGTTACTATTCTTGAACGACAATTTGATAACAGTCGTTGAACCGCAAACATTTTTAAAGAAAACAAACTTGACACGCGTCGACCTTTACGCTAATCAAATCATAAGCATGGATTTGAACGCTCTCCGATTGACGCCCGTCGACCCGGAACGACCGTTACCCGAATTTTACATCGGCGGAAATCCATTCCAGTGCGACTGCACCATGGAATGGTTACAAAGGATTAATAAGCTGGATCATCTCCGTCAGCATCCGAGAGTGATGGATTTGGAGAGCATTTACTGTAAGTTACTTCATAATCGCGAAGCTAAATATTTGCCGTTGATAAGCGCCGATTCCTCTCAGTTTCTGTGCCCTTACAAGACCCATTGCTTTGCACTATGTCACTGTTGTGATTTTGACGCGTGTGACTGCGAAATGACGTGTCCGACAAACTGTACCTGTTATCACGATCAGTCGTGGTCTTCTAACATTGTCGAGTGTTCCGGTGCCGACTATAAAGAGATGCCCAACAAGATACCGATGGACGCTACGGAAGTTTATTTAGACGGTAACAATTTCGGCGAATTGTTCAGTCACTCGTTTATCGGTCGCAAGAATCTTAAAGTTCTTTACGCGAACAATTCCAACATTGCCGCAATTTACAATCAGACGTTCAGCGGTCTGCCAAGATTAATTATACTACACTTGGAAAATAATTCGATTAAGCAGTTGCTCGGCTTCGAGCTGGCGTCCCTCGAAATTTTGCGCGAGCTCTATTTACAAAATAATTTAATTCATTACATCGACAATAGAACGTTCCTCGGCCTCAAACATTTGGAAGTTTTGCGTTTGGACGGCAACAAACTGACGACGTTCGAAGTGTGGCAACTGTCACGAAATTCGTATTTAGTTGACATCAGTTTGGGCGAAAATCACTGGTCGTGCGATTGCGATTATACGAAAAAATTCCGAATGTGGTTGCAAGTGAATCAGGGGAAAGTGTCTGACTTTTCACGCGTCAATTGTTTCTTCAGTAATAACACTAGTAGCATAGGACCCCCGATATTAGATAACACCACGTGCACCGTAGTTTCGGGAAAGTCCCGGGCGATGGTGGAAAGCCAGGCAATGAACGATTACCTGTCGGTCTTGCTGATTGCGATGTGTTTGTTCCTGTCTAGTGTGGTAATAATGTGCGGAGCCTTCTATTACCGCAGGGAACTGAGAGTTTGGATTTATTCCCGGTGTGGGTTACGAATGTGTTACAAAACGACCTCGTTCGAAGAGCAACAAGACAAAGACAGACTCTTCGACGCGTACGTATGTTACAGCGTGAAGGACGAGGCGTTTGTTCATCAAGTGTTGGCTCAGGGTCTCGAAGGGGGTGAGCCCAATTACAGGCTGTGTCTGCACTATCGCGACTTCAACGTGTCCACGTACGTTGCGGACACTATCATAGAAGCGGTCGAGTCCTCGAGACGGACTATCCTGGTGCTGTCAAAGAACTTTTTGTACAACGAATGGTGCCGTTTCGAATTCAAATCCGCGCTCAACGAGGTGCTAAAAGACCGAAGACGAAGACTGATATTCATAGTGACCGGCGAGATACCGCAGAGGGATCTCGATCCCGATCTTCGCCTGTATATTAAGACGAACATTGTGATAGAATGGGGAGACAGACAGTTTTGGCAAAAGCTCCAGTTCGAGATGCCGGACGTGAAACGATCGTGTGTACATCAACGGTCGGCGGTCAATATTTACGCAACAAACACTCCGATGCATCTGGAGAGATCGAGGAGTCCGGCACTTCCGCCACCTCCGCCTCCTGGTAAATTGCCGCCGTTCCTACAAAACCCGCCCAGTTTACCTAGGAATTCGAGACCGTTACCGCATCCCTTGTGGGCATAGCGATTATTAAATTACAGGTATGTATTTAGTCTTTTTTATTTCTTTTAAAGCCTCTGTAAATAAAGCGCCTGGACCATTTGGCATCCTTTATTTGCTACTGGATTTGATGGATGAGTTATTATTGATGTTTAAAACATATATTGAACTTTTTCTACCATACCTATGTGACATCATGGTGTAAATTGGGCTACTCTAGACTCTCAAATTAAGCAACTGTAGAAGTAATAATTTTACTCCTAGCATCTCTTGTTTGTTCCTCATCCAATTTATGAATATTTTGTAGGTTTTTACGCATTTTTGCTCTTCGCCTTTTTTACGAAAAGAGGGATAAAATTTACCCGTCAAAATAAGTTATTCTTGACAGGTTTCGGTATTCCGGCGCGGAGTTTATAACGGGGGAAAATGCGTCTTTTCTTCGGATAAAAAGTTAACAACATTAAGACGTAAAAGTGTCGACTACAGACCGAGAAAATTACAAGCCATGATTGAAATTGCGTTAGTCTGTCTCCAGGAGTCGTCTGAAGGAAATAGGACTTTTGTTTGTTATTTATCCATGCTGCTGCTGACTGCTCCTTCAATTTCTTTTGTGACACGGACTATTCTCTCCTAAAACGTTCTGAAGGAGATTTGCAAGGATTTATTAAATCTTTCATTCTCGTTCCTATTCTGCACTGATCTTGTTTTTTTCCGAAATACGAGACTGAGATAAAAAAACAACAACATTGGCTATACCCTCACGAAAAATTAAAACATTGACTGTTTCATGTACTCTGTAAATTTTTGTCTAATTTATGAAATAAGCAACCCAAAATAGGAGCAAGTTCCTAATTCGAAGATTTAAAGGGTTAAGGTACAATTACATCACACATTTTATGACTAAATTGTAAAAATAAATCATTAATTTTGTTCCTGTAATGTCAATTCTTTACATACCTATTTATATTATATTTTTGGTAAATGTGGAGTCAAAAGCAGCAAAACATTGTCGTATTGCCATAAAATTCTTAAATCATTAATTTATTTTCTTTTCTGGTCAACAGAAGACACTTGTAAATATTAATCTTATTTTTTCCGAAGCAAAGCCTATACGTTCCTTCTTCTGTCGTGTTTGTTTTTCTTGCGGTTGCTTTATTACACGTTTGGCCTTACGTCTTGTTCCGGTCCACTAACGACCTGTGCTATTGTGTTAGTCCGTCGCGACGCATCAGGGGTTTTAATCCTGATGCGAGACGACAGCGGCGCGACGCTGCTGCTACGCTCGGCTTTCCGAAACTTTTCGGAGGACATTCCCAAGAAGTTATTTATATCCGGGAAAAGCAAAAGTGGCACGTAAGCAGGCCGTGAAAGGGTATTTATGAAAACGGAAAACGACAGGAAAAGAAAGACTGATGACGATGACGGAGAGCGAGAGAGATGTGACGAGTGTGTGCGAGTCCGGTCGCTTCCTATCTATCTATCTAGCAGGCGCTGCTTTTCTCAAAGGCCTCATTTACTACCCACAAGCAAATTAATGTCTACGGGAATAATTACTGGTGCGGTTTCTTTGCCTCGCACGGAACGACCGTTGCTCTTGCTCGGGCTATATCTTTCTTTCTTTCTTTTTTTCTCGCACGATTGTTTCGCCCTTTCGCCTGGAAAGATCCAGGTTGGCGCTGTTATTTAAATGAGCGTGCACGCACGGACGTGGAATTCCTACTAAACGTTTTCTCACATTTTCTGTAGAAACGGATCGGGTTAAAAGAAAAATTACGATTACCTTTTTATATCAGGCACATAAATCTAGCAAGCACGAGAAAAATAGTCATTTTCTTTCTGACCAACGTTTTTCATTTCTATCTTTGTTTTTTCTTCCACCACAGGGAGGTTCGTTATTAATACCCTTGAAAAATAAAAGTGATCATTTTTTCCGTAGGTCACAGTAGGTATAAATAAAAACTTGTCTCGCAGATCGCTGTATTCCTAAAGTGACGTCTCGGTCTGTTCAGGGGACATCTAAGGAATAGGAATGCGGACATACGTGTCCATCATGAAGATTATTACGCCTCGCCGTGGGTTCAATTTGACAAATAGATATCGTTTATCGTGGAAGAACTTTATCAAATATGAATGAACTCACATTTAGTACTTACAAATTAGTAAATTTATATAGATGGCGTCAACTACGTCATCAGAAGATATTCGGTAAACGCAAATTATCTATGGCATGCTGATGATGTCTAAAGAGATCGAAATCACAATTCAGTTTTGAAAGATCACTGATCAAGAACTTTCGTTTTTGAATTTTCTTTATCCTTTATGTTTTATACTTGTATTTTAATAAAAATATTAGAAAACTTCTAATATATATTTTGTAACTCGATAAACGGAGAGTCCAAAATTTTATTTATTATTTTGTTAGTTTTTGTTTTGGTTTAAGGCTTGTTCTTGCTAGGATAACCCCAGTTCCTCCAGACCAATGTTGCTTATCACTAGAAAGTATGTTCAACTTCTCTGAAAAGTGTCTTAAGCTAACGTATCTATCAAAATATTTTGAAGAAAACGTAACATCCCTCAAAAGCTTCCATCATTATAAGATCGTCAGTCCTAAGACTGATTGGATACGTACATCCACTCTTTCCGATCCTGAGCTAATCTTCGCATTTCCCTAAAACTAGAACAACCCACATCCTTAACCATTTGCAAACGGTAATCTAATCTAGATCTACTCCTACCCCTCCTAACTGTCATTTCTGCCCCCAATATGTCATTGACTAGACCTTCATGCCTGAGAAGGTGTCCTACTAACCTATCTCGCCCAATTTTTATTGACTTCATAGAGTCCTCTGTTCTCCATTTCTTTTTAATACCTCTTCATTTCTAACCTTCTCTATCCACGGTCCCCTTCTCATTCGCTTGTAACACCACATTTCGAACGCTTCTAACCTTTTCTTTTCCGCCGCGTCCACTGTCCATGTTTCGCACTCGTACTGTACCGCGCTCTAAACATACACGTTTAACAATCTTTTTCGAATTTCTAAATTAACCATTCGCGAGCATAGACGTAACTTCTTTTTATTGAAGGCGAGTCGACCCTGCGCTATCCTCTGCTTTAAATCCCTAGTACCTCTTCCGTCCTGACTTATCTTCTTAATAATAACGCCTTTTGATGATTGCATGTACGTAGTAGAATATCGTCATCTTCGGTTCTCAATTCCCCCTTGGTGTGTGCGATATGTGAAAAAATTCTCGTCGCGTATCGCGTGAATTCGAACAAAGGTGTTAATAATAATTCGATGCTTTCCATTACATAACGTCAAGCTTTTTGTTGTTTAACCAAGCTTGAAATCGGTGAAAACAGTTCTGAAAAGACGCCCGTAACGTACACTCTTGCGCTCGAATGTTCTCTAAAAGCGGCAAGTTGTCAGTCTTTGTAAGCAATCTATCATTCTCGGTTTGTCTTGGAAAACGTCATCCGGTGCCATAGGTAGATTTTATTCACACGAATTCCGCTTTTATTAAGACCACTTCAAACACATAATTTATTTTTTTTTTAATCTCATTCGTGTGTGCAGGGAAAGGAAAAAAATCGTAACTATTGTTGTTGACTTTACCTGTATGCACCTTTTCGAAGTCTGGATTCAAAAGGAATAAAACTTCTCGGTATACTCACCTGAAAACAAACAAAAGAATAGTGATAAAATTTTTTACTACTACCATTTAAATGCTATTGAAAACTAGTGTTGCCCAAATTCAGTCTTGGTCTTGCAGTCTTGGTCTTGTTCTTGCGTTTTTGCAAGACCAAGACCAAGAACAAGACCGCGTATTTTTAGCAAGACCAAGACCAAGACTGACCGTGCAAGACTTGAGCAAGAACAAGACATAGCCTGCAAGACTCTTGCNCCAAGACGTGAGCGATTTGGGCTTTCGAGAGCGTGTGACAGCGGCAGCTCAACCCCTTATGAGTGTTCCGGAAGGCGAACAAGAGTCGCACGATATCGACAATGTGAAAATTGACATTTCGTGCAGTTTGGACGTGCAAGTTCTTGACGCGTCGTTCAATCATTTCGTATTAATTCCCGCCAACGGATTTGGCATTTTAAGAAGACTGAACGAATTGTATTTGCAATATAACGAAATTTCAATGGTTGCCGATAAAGCCCTGGCCGGATTAAAATCGCTTGAGATTTTCGATTTGTCGAACAATAAAATCGTGGCGTTGCCCGGCGAGCTGTTCAAAGATTGTGCAACAACAATAAAGGAAATTTACCTACAGAATAATTCAATAACTGTCCTTGCGCCTGGATTATTCTCAGATTTAGACCAGCTGCTTGCGCTCGATTTGTCAAAAAACCAGCTGAGTAGTTCCTGGATTAACACTGACAGTTTTGCCGGCCTGATCCGTTTGGTACTGCTCAATTTATCTTACAATAAAATCATGAAAATTGAACCGACAATATTCAAGGATTTGTACACGTTACAGATCTTGAATCTGGAGCACAACCTGATAGAAACAATCCCGGCCGAGACATTCGCTCCGATGAGCAATTTGCATACGTTGATAATATCGTACAATAAAATTACCTACTTGGATGCATATTCCCTCAACGGGCTGTACGTTCTCTCATTACTGGCGCTAGATAATAATTTACTGGAAGGTATTCATCCCGAAGCTTTTCGGAACTGCTCCAGCTTACAAGATTTGAATATTAATGGTAACGTGCTAACCAAAGTGCCCCTGGCCCTGAAGGATATGAGACTTTTGAAAACGGTCGATCTTGGCGAGAATTCGATAACGTCATTAGAGAATCCGAACTTTCGAGGAATGAGCAACTTGTACGGTCTGAGACTAATAGGAAATCAGTTGCAAAATATTAGCAAGCACGCGTTCGTCGATCTTCCCGCCCTTCAGATCCTCAATTTGGCGAGAAACAGGATCCAGAAAGTGGAACAGGGCGCTTTCGAAATGAGCGCAACTTTACAAGCAATCAGGCTCGACTCTAATCAGCTAACAGACATTAGCGGTCTGTTTTCGAATATACCAAGTTTACTTTGGCTGAACGTATCCGATAACAGGATAGAGTGGTTCGATTACGCTCTCATTCCTCACGGACTCCAGTGGCTCGATATCCACAAGAATAACGTCAGAGAACTAGGCAACCACTACTCCCTAGACGTCGAGTTACGTTTGCAAACTTTGGACGCGAGCTTTAACAAATTAACAAGTATCAATTCGAACGCCGTGCCGAGCAGTATCGAGTTACTATTCTTGAACGACAATTTGATAACAGTCGTTGAACCGCAAACATTTTTAAAGAAAACAAACTTGACACGCGTCGACCTTTACGCTAATCAAATCATAAGCATGGATTTGAACGCTCTCCGATTGACGCCCGTCGACCCGGAACGACCGTTACCCGAATTTTACATCGGCGGAAATCCATTCCAGTGCGACTGCACCATGGAATGGTTACAAAGGATTAATAAGCTGGATCATCTCCGTCAGCATCCGAGAGTGATGGATTTGGAGAGCATTTACTGTAAGTTACTTCATAATCGCGAAGCTAAATATTTGCCGTTGATAAGCGCCGATTCCTCTCAGTTTCTGTGCCCTTACAAGACCCACTGCTTTGCACTATGTCACTGTTGTGATTTTGACGCGTGTGACTGCGAAATGACGTGTCCGACAAACTGTACCTGTTATCACGATCAGTCGTGGTCTTCTAACATTGTCGAGTGTTCCGGTGCCGACTATAAAGAGATGCCCAACAAGATACCGATGGACGCTACGGAAGTTTATTTAGACGGTAACAATTTCGGCGAATTGTTCAGTCACTCGTTTATCGGTCGCAAGAATCTTAAAGTTCTTTACGCGAACAATTCCAACATTGCCGCAATTTACAATCAGACGTTCAGCGGTCTGCCAAGATTAATTATACTACACTTGGAAAATAATTCTATTAAGCAGTTGCTCGGCTTCGAGCTGGCGTCCCTCGAAATTTTGCGCGAGCTCTATTTACAAAATAATTTAATTCATTACATCGACAATAGAACGTTCCTCGGCCTCAAACATTTGGAAGTTTTGCGTTTGGACGGCAACAAACTGACGACGTTCGAAGTGTGGCAACTGTCACGAAATTCGTATTTAGTTGACATCAGTTTGGGCGAAAATCACTGGTCGTGCGATTGCGATTATACGAAAAAATTCCGAATGTGGTTGCAAGTGAATCAGGGGAAAGTGTCTGACTTTTCACGCGTCAATTGTTTCTTCAGTAATAACACTAGTAGCATAGGACCCCCGATATTAGATAACACCACGTGCACCGTAGTTTCGGGAAAGTCCCGGGCGATGGTGGAAAGCCAGGCAATGAACGATTACCTGTCGGTCTTGCTGATTGCGATGTGTTTGTTCCTGTCTAGTGTGGTAATAATGTGCGGAGCCTTCTATTACCGCAGGGAACTGAGAGTTTGGATTTATTCCCGGTGTGGGTTACGAATGTGTTACAAAACGACCTCGTTCGAAGAGCAACAAGACAAAGACAGACTCTTCGACGCGTACGTATGTTACAGCGTGAAGGACGAGGCGTTTGTTCATCAAGTGTTGGCTCAGGGTCTCGAAGGGGGTGAGCCCAATTACAGGCTGTGTCTGCACTATCGCGACTTCAACGTGTCCACGTACGTTGCGGACACTATCATAGAAGCGGTCGAGTCCTCGAGACGGACTATCCTGGTGCTGTCAAAGAACTTTTTGTACAACGAATGGTGCCGTTTCGAATTCAAATCCGCGCTCAACGAGGTGCTAAAAGACCGAAGACGAAGACTGATATTCATAGTGACCGGCGAGATACCGCAGAGGGATCTCGATCCCGATCTTCGCCTGTATATTAAGACGAACATTGTGATAGAATGGGGAGACAGACAGTTTTGGCAAAAGCTCCAGTTCGAGATGCCGGACGTGAAACGATCGTGTGTACATCAACGGTCGGCGGTCAATATTTACGCAACAAACACTCCGATGCATCTGGAGAGATCGAGGAGTCCGGCACTTCCGCCACCTCCGCCTCCTGGTAAATTGCCGCCGTTCCTACAAAACCCGCCCAGTTTACCTAGGAATTCGAGACCGTTACCGCATCCCTTGTGGGCATAGCGATTATTAAATTACAGGTATGTATTTAGTCTTTTTTATTTCTTTTAAAGCCTCTGTAAATAAAGCGCCTGGACCATTTGGCATCCTTTATTTGCTACTGGATTTGATGGATGAGTTATTATTGATGTTTAAAACATATATTGAACTTTTTCTACCATACCTATGTGACATCATGGTGTAAATTGGGCTACTCTAGACTCTCAAATTAAGCAACTGTAGAAGTAATAATTTTACTCCTAGCATCTCTTGTTTGTTCCTCATCCAATTTATGAATATTTTGTAGGTTTTTACGCATTTTTGCTCTTCGCCTTTTTTACGAAAAGAGGGATAAAATTTACCCGTCAAAATAAGTTATTCTTGACAGGTTTCGGTATTCCGGCGCGGAGTTTATAACGGGGGAAAATGCGTCTTTTCTTCGGATAAAAAGTTAACAACATTAAGACGTAAAAGTGTCGNATGCAAAATAATTTCGAATTTTTTTACACGCTTTATATTATTGTTTGATTTGCGGCGGCATCCTTATCATAGAGCCGGCACGTGGCGAGGCGGCGCGGTAGAAAGCAAGGATCATAAATGTTTATTAAGAAACAGTTACTTCCATGGAAAACGACATATAGGTCAGTTGATTTTTCGAATTTCTTATCAAATCTTCAGTTATTTATTAATCTGCTTGATCTTTACTATGGCTATATTCATTCAAGCTCACAATGTTCCAATTCTAATACGTTTTTCTAGGATTTAAAGTAAACTTTAATAAATAGTAATAGACTAATAGGTAATTGCAAGACTTGCAAGACTCTTGCTGCAAGACCAAGACCAAGACCAAGACTGGGAGCGCAAGACCAAGACCAAGACCAAGACCAGGTGTATTGGCGCAAGACCAAGACCAAGACTGGCTAAGTCTCGTCTTGTTCTTGCGTTTGGGCAACACTATTGAAAACAGAAATATTCTTGTTATGGTACTTGCGGTTTATCTTATGTGCAATAATGCTTTATATCGTTGTTTGTGTTTCTTCATAATATGTTATTTGTAATAAAGAAAGAAAATAAAACGCTTTTAATAATAAATGTTTTAAAGTGTAATCATATGGGCACTAATATACATGTTCAGGGTAGTTAACCATTTAACAATAGCAATTCGTTGGTTATTTATGAAGATTATTCATCAATAGATTTCTTAGAGCGTAAAGCCAAAGGTCCCGGGTTCGATTCCCGGCGGGGGTGTGACAACAGCAACAATCTTTTCCTCGTTAATTTGAGGTAGTAGTGGGTAAAAAATTCAAAAATGAATTTTCAGAATAATATTTCATAATAGATTTCTGATTTAAATTAGATTCACTGAAAAGACTGGAGGAGTAGGTCCATTACATGAAAACAGTTTTTTTCATGATAAGTTCAGTTTATTGATGGAAGAAGTCGAATCTTTAATAGATTTCTGTATAGGAAAGGAAAGATTATTAGGCTAGATCAAAACCAATGCTTATCACTAGAAAGTATGTTCAACTTCTCTGAAAACTGTCTTAAACTAACCTATCTATCAAAATCTTTTGAAGAAAACGTAACATCCTTCAAAAGTTTTCATCATCATGATAAGGTTGTTAGTCCTAAGACTGGTTGGACATGCACCTTCACTCCTTCCTATCCTGAGCTAATTTTTGCATTTCCCTAATACTAGAACATCTCACATCCCTAACTAATTACGAACAGTAATCTAATCTAGGTCTACCTCTACCCCTCCTAACTCCTGTTTCTGCCTCTAATATGTCTCTTACTAGACCTTCATGCCTGAGAAGGTGTCCTACCAACCTATCTCGCCTATTTCTTATTGACTTCCATAGAGTCATCTGTTCTCTTATTCTTTCTAATACCTCTTCATTTCTAACCTACTCTATCCACGGTATCCTCATGATTCACCTGTAATATCACATTTCGAACGCTTCAACTTCTCTGAAAACTGTCATAAACTAACCTATCTATCAAAATCTTTTGAAGAAAACGTAACATCCCTCAAAAGCTTTCATCATCATAAGGTCATCAGTCCTAAGACTGGTTGAACACGTACTTTCAATCTTTTCTATTTTGAGCTAATCTTCGTTAATTTCCCTAAAACTAGAACAACGCACATGTAGTATAATCTAGGTCTACATCTACCCCTCCAAACTCTCATTTCTGCCTCATATTTGTCTCTGACTAGACCTTCATGCCTGAGAAGGTGTCCTACCAACCTATCTCGCCTGTTTCTTATTGACTCTTATCCTCTGTTCACCTATTCTTTCCAATACCTCTTCATTTCTAACCTTCTTTATCCACGGTATCCTCATGATTCGCCTATAACACCACATTTCGAACGCTTCTAACCTTTTCTTTTCCGCAGCGACCACCATTCATGTTTCGCACCCGAACAGCGCCACGCTCCAAACATGCACCTTTAACAATATTTTTCGAATTTCTAAACATAGAAGTGACTTCTTTTTATTGAAGGCGACTTGACCCTTCTCTCTCCTCTGCTTCTACTATCCCGTCCTGACTTATCTCACTTCCTAGATACCAAAGCTCAGTCACCTTTTCGTAAGTTTGTTTGGGTCGCTTTGTTATAGAAGGTTTTGAGGAGGACGAATAATTAAAACTAGATAACAACAACATATATTACAACTTAACAACAACTGGCGTAACGAAAGGAGAAGAGAAGAGACTTGTTCTGCTGAAGGCGTAAGACGAACTGATTTGGTATTTTATGAAAAATGAAAAACTGTTCTACAAGGAAGGAATAGAGAGGGTAGTAGATACGAGTAGGGAAGCATTAAAATATGGAAACTTTAAGATTAGAAATACCAAGAAATTGATGGCCGGTCAACCACCGAAGAAACCGATTGTAAAAATGTAATTAGGAAGGAATGAAAGGTACAGACGTCATGCGGTTAGTACACAAAAGATGAAATGTTACAGGGATTATAGGAAAGTACAGTAATAGAGTTATTTAAATAGATAAGCAAGATACAATAGATTATTTACAAAA